GCCCTTCCCATTGGCTGAGCCGCGCCGAGGGCTCCCCCCACCCGCTCCAGCCCCTCGTTCTGCCGGGGAGCCCCCGGAACTTGCGCTACCCGGAGAGGGGGAAGGGACCTTTCGGCCGGGAAAGCCCCAAAGACAGGTGCCGCGGCCGGCTTGGGGGTGGCTGCAGCGTGGGGGCAGGGATGTCCGCCACAACCCCGATTCCGGCCTGAGAAGCTTGCCTGGAAGGGAAAGGACCGGTCCCCTCTGCCCTGGCTCCCCACCACGCCACGCGCTGGTTTGGTAGACACGGCATGCGCTCGGTGCCTACTGTGGGTGACAAGGGCAAGCCTGGGCCCCGGGAAGACGGGTCCGGGGCAAGGGGAGGCCCGGGAGATGGGAAGGGCAAAACAATCTGAATGCTCCGGGCCAGCGAAGATCCGAGATGAGGGTGGGTGAAACTTAGGAGAGGCACGCCCCCCAACACACATACACACACACACTCACGCCCACAGACATTTCTGGGGTTCTACGGGGCTCTGCGTGGGGCTGCACCAAGAGGGACATTCTGACAGCAGTCGCGGCCTCCTCGCTGCGGGATCAAAGGGAGGCCCCGCGGCGCGAGGTTCCAGCCCCGGGATCCCCGCGTGCGAGCGGCCCGCCCTCCTCCTGCAGAGCGGGGTCAGCCTCGCAGGCCCGATCCGCGGGCTTGGGGCCCTGCGGCGGCGGCCGCGGCCCAGCCCCTCGGAAAACCCTGGCCTAGCCGCAGGCCCCTCCCCCCGGCCAGCTGGCTCGCTCCAGCTGCAGCTCCCTTATTTAGGCAAGGAGGCCTGGGGATGCTCAAGGGCAGCCAGGGTGTCTGCCCGCCGCCTGCCCACCGCCGGCCTGGGTCTGAGGAAGGGTCTCCGGGCGAAGCGTCCCTGGCCCGAGCAGCGATGCAGGGCCCCTAGGAAGGCCAGGGCTGGAAGGCGAGTGTTGACAGCTGAGAGGGCGGGTGGGGAGGAGTCGCAGCTGAGCAGCCGAGGGTCCACTCCCTGCAGCCAGATCAGAGACCTGTCTAGATGGATGGGGCCATGTGGGGGCTCCTGAGGGCTTGCAGCTGCCTCTGTCCTTGGAGCAGGGGCTGGGTCTCGTCACCAGCGAGAACCATCAGGGGATCTAGGGGGAGGGGAAGACAAAGGGCAGGGAAAGAAGCAGCGTCTGCAAGGAGGAAGGCGCAGAAACAAATGTCGTGGTGAGACCACCCTGTCCAGACTCTCACCTTCCACTCAGAAGCAAAATGATGCCAACACCAGGGCTAAATGGGGCCACTGGCCAGCAGATGACACCCTTTTTTATTTGCTAGTGGGTGGGCAGTGACTCAGGGAGGCAGCCAGTGGGAGAGAAGGAGGTGGCTCCACCAGCCGATGCTAAAAAAGTCCAGAGGCTCTTGCCTGTGCAGTCATTCCTCAAGCCCTCTCCACCTTCAGCAGCCTCCCCAGCCCCCGGGGTGCCCAGGGTAAAGCTTCGGTGGCACAGGCTGCCCCTCCTTTGTGACTTGGCCTCGGGTACATCAACCCATCTGGGTTCTGGGTAAAACCCAGTGCATGACTGGCCCAGCCCCCACCCAGCCCCACAG